TGCCATCCTACCTCGGGGTGCACTCACGCACACATGCACACTCACCCAGACAGGGACTCTGTAGACATTTCAATTCACCTGATATAGAGGAGATCTCTGAGACACTGGAGGAAATCAAAACACCCAGAGAAAACTCAAGCAGACATAGGAGGAAATTTGCACTCCACAGACACATTGGGCTTAGCTGGGAATTGATTTTTTTTTTTTTCTTATCAATGTTATAACAAAATGCTGGACAAAATAGCATTATTTGAAGAACTCCCGTATTATTTTCCAGTGCTTTTTATATTCCACTGTATTTACAATGCACTGTTTCCAATCTGTAGCCATCATATGTTCTAGTTCATTTTTCTTCATGGGACAGGTTTGATACATTTCTAGCAAAATAGAAAGTAAAAATAAACCACTCCTTTTCCTAAATGGCTTAAGGATTGCATCTGGGAATCTATGGAGACTCTCTTAGGTATCAGTGATCCACGGTTCTCTGATACACACTTCAGGTGGAACTATCATGTAAAATATTCTTACCTACCTTTTGTTTCAAAAGTGAGGAATAGGAAAGACGCAGCACTAGACTTCAACGTGCTCTGATATTTCTTTTCTTTTCTTTTTTTGTTTTTGTTTTTGTTTTTGAGATTGAGTGTTGTTCTGTCGCCCATGTTGGAGTGCAGTGGAGCGATCTCGGCTCACCGCAACCTCCGCCTCCTGGGTTCAAGCAATTCTCCCGCCTCAGTTTCCCTAGTAGCTGGGACTACAGAAGCATGCCACTGCGCCCGGAAATTTTTTTTTTCTTCTTCTTCTTTTTTGAGACAGAGTCTCACTCAGTCACCAGGCGCCAGGCTGGAGTGCAGTGGCGCGACCTCGGCTCACCGCAACCTCTGCCTCCTGGGTTCAAGCAATTCTCCTGCCTCAGCCTCCCCAGTAGTTGGGACTGCAGGTGCGCGCCACCACACCCAGCTAATTTTTTTGTATTTTTAGTAGAGACGGGGTTCCACCATGTTGGCCAGGATGGTCTTGATCTCCTGATCTCGTGATCCACCCGCCTCTGCCTCCCAAAGAGCTGGGATTACAGATGTGAGCCATTGTGCCCTGCCTCTGATATTTACTTTCTAAAATAACAGGGAAATGGCACTATCAACATAGTCTTTCTTTTCTTTTCTTTTCTCTTTTTCCAAAAAGCTTTTTCTAGAGTGTTTTATTTGTGGAAACTGTGGATAAAATACAGTGATAAATAATTTATTTTCCATTTACAATAGTGTGACCATTTTATTTTCTGATTTCTATGTTGAACATGAGGGAATGTGAGTTCTTTACTTATCCTTCCATCTATCCATTCACAGTTCAATCATCCATCCCTTTATCTTCCCATCGATCCTCCAAGGCTTTCTGCTGCTATATCTCATTCTCTGTCATCATAAAGTCTTATTATCTAGGCTGTCTTTTTTAATAACCCCCAATCCCACAGACAATATACAGATTTTAGTGTGGATATTTAATACGTTTTCTACAGAGAAATGCTCTTAAGTTTCCCCTAAGTCACTAAGCTTAATGGTGCCTTATAACCAATACTTTTAGTTTCTCTCATTTAAAAATATGTTCAATCTGTGCTAAATAAAAGAATTTCTTGAGTTACTGCAGGTAAAATCTACTTTCGTTTTACTTTGAACTGTAAAGAAAATCATTTTACTTCCATGCATCCAATGATCAGCAACACGTTCATCAGCTTTCTAGGAGTCATACAGATAACTTCCCCACAGGCAAGGCATCTTCCTGTCATATTCTGATAAGGATAGATTTCATGCCAGCCTTAGCTGGACATCCTTCACAGCCTACTGGAAATCTGATCAGCTGGCTGAACGGAACCTGTCAACAGTTTTACTACTGACACTCTCAGTAAGGAACTTGTCATGCCTTTCTTCTACAGAAATGATATAGTGGAAATTCTGCTTACCTGAATATTGTGGGGGAATAGTTGTCAGAATTGGGAGGGTTACCTGTAGCTAACAGCAGGGCAATAATAAAATATAGACACTCTCCAGTGTCAATTAGATATATTTTTCCTATTGTTTGCAGATGCTATCTCCAACTTAGAATATATTCTGATGATATAATTCCGCTGAAAAAAATTGCATACCAAATTGTGAATATTATACTGAAGACCTTGTGAGTACTTTAATAACATACATTCTGATATTCTGGAAATTAAATATATTAACTCCAAGGATAAGAATTTTTCTGTCTCTTATGGTGTGTGCCAGTTAATAGTAGGGAATATACCAATGAATAAAGTCATTAATGCCTCCTGCCTTTGTGCTAAGGTAGCCATTACCAATCCCTGTGTGACACAATGCACCAAGTTAGTAAAGGAGGTTTATGTGAATTTCATATCCCTTGCTTTCAGTATTTTTTGTACTAAACAATTTTATCTTTGAGTTAAAGTATTTTATTCTGTGTTAGGGTCTTTTTCACATCTTGGTTATATGTGAAAACAAGTCATCTAGCAAATACATGGTGTGAATCCGCAAAAAGAACAGTGTAGATTGTTCTTCAAATTAAGTACAACATGAGATGGTCATAGTGCAGGTTTTTCATGGTTACACTGAAACGATTTCTTGAAATGAGTATCTTCTTCTTAGCTCGGGGAGTTGTTTTGAGAGATTTCTCTCTCTTTTATAAGATAAGCTTTCATTATTTCAGGTGATGACTGAACATCCACTGTGTATAATCCTCAAGCCCACAGCCTAATTGTTCCCTTCACACACGTTTGTAGACTTCACATGTCACCCCTGGGATGCCAGTATACTGAATATGTTTCCTATTGGGAAATGTTAAGTGCTCCCAGAGAGAAACTAACAAGAGTCTAAATTTGATGGAATAAAAGCTACGTTTTTAGGGAAAATCAACTGTTTTTGCAAAGACTTTAAGAAGTTCATTAGTATTCTTCGTACTTGGTATGAAAGGACACACGTTCCTAAATTATTCATGTTACATATTTACATGATAAATATTAATTTTAGGTGAATTAATTACTTCCATCTCTGCTGACCTTTGCTTTGGCATTTGCTTCAGTTTAACAAATACATCTTAATAATGATATTCTTTCAGTTTTCATTCTTTTTCTGTGACTTCTTTTTGGTGTCTGCTGTGGTTTAAGAGTGGTAGGGGATGCTCTAAAAGAAAATGCTTTAAAAAACACCCAGTTGCAATTCAGAATTCTGAAGGATCTTTGGAAAGTAATAACCTACAGGACATAATTGACATTCCGAAACGAAAATCTGATCTACCTCTAGCAATGAAATTATGCTACCCTGGAAAGACTGCTATAATAAATCTACTTAAGAGTGTTAAAATACAGCCATTAAAGTGGCCGAGAAAATATTAATGTACTAACATTACATGTTTTATGCTACTTCCTTATAACCTCAAGATACATTAGTAGTAAAATGTATCCCTAGGCTAGACTCCTAAATGAGTTGACATGCTGTGTAAAGTTAGTGGATACAGAACAATTAAATGTTGAAAGTTGCAACTGCAAAACTTTAGTTTTATCTTCCATGAATTACTGGTCACTGGTGTCACTCCTTTTTGGGAGGGACAGAGAAGCCATCTCTTCTTTTGGTTTTTAAGGCATTCATTTCTCTTGGTTCTTTACCTTATTTTCTGATCATTTTTGCTCCTGTTCCTTCCCACAATATTCTCCGTTTTTGGTGTTTCATTTGGTGGTATTGAATAGGGCCTTTATTCTTGTACTTTTTCTACCAAGGTGTTGTCTATGGAAATACAATCCTTTCCTTTCATCTCCTCCCCTCCCCTCCCCTCTCTACAACTTGCCAAATACAACACGTTCATCTTTACTGGTGAGATTTGCCCTTTGTTTTTGCTTTTCTTTAGCATTTTGCATTAACACACACTGTTCCCTTGCCCAAAATAAACTTCCTCATGCACTCTTGCCATACTTACCTGTAAGTAGTATCTCTGCCATCATTCAGCTTAAGTGTCACTCCCGCCATAAAGGGCTCTGTTTCCACTACTCCCCTATGTTCACTTCAAAACTAATTGTATGGCATAGCATATTGCATTTTAATTACTGGTTTCTCTGCATGCTCTCTTGATGACTTTGATGATGTCCATGACATGCAATCTGTATTGATAGTTATCCTCACTCTCTTAAACAAATCGTATATGTTGATAAATGTTCAACGGGCCAACCAAAGAAGTCCTGCTATTCTTCAGACAGAAGGAGGAGATAGACTGCTTACAGTAGTGCTTAAATATGTTCCTATTTGTGTGTGAGCTTAAGATCTACTAATTCAATGTACACTTGATCCAGTAATTATGATAATTTTAGAGTCATATTAATATCTAAAACACGTACTTTTAGCTTGGGCCATATTGGATTCACTTTTTCTTTTGTACACTTACTACACCTGGTCTGGAAACAGATTTAATAGAAAAAAAAAAGATATGATTACCAAATTATTAAAGAGTTTAAAAAAATGCCTTTGGGTTAAAGATTTCTTTTACTGTTTTTATTCTGTACTTATTTCATTTAAATTCTAATTGATAATTTTATTCAATATCATAATTAACTTATTTTTAACCATGTTTTAACCAATAGATTTTTTTTTTGACAAGCAGATTTTACTTCTTATATAATTTTGGAATTCAGACTACACATTTTCATGATATGCGTATACTTACAAATAATTTTTTATTCTAGTTTTAAAATTATTCCTGCTAGAATTTGATGGAGAGTTTGAATCTAGAAGGCCTTTAAGTCAAAATTTTAAAGAAGCTTGTTAGTAAACCAGAACTGACCAAAGATGGAGTTGTATTAAAAACCTTCACAACCACAGTGTGGATTACTGTTTACTAGAGTGAATACCACCACAATGTGAACAGAAATTCAGCGCTCATGCCTCAGATGGCAGTGTATATATCCATTCAGAGCAATCGCATAGTCTTTATAAGTGAAGCCTTGAGAAGAAAGCAAAGGTTACCTTCTTTGTTCTTGTGGGTATTTAATTGTGAGAGAAGGTTTTCATTGGCCTGCACGCAGTACACCTCTCGGGTCTGGATGCCCCCGCCACAGAGGGCTGTCTGGTTACCGCGCCTCTTGTCCTGCTGACTGAGCAAAGGGTCCACACGGCATTCAGTCCACTCCGTAGTTCTCCAGCCATACCTAAATAAAGAAAACACAGCAGTGGCAACCACGTTTATTGAATAACATGTTTACTTACTCCTCTTATACTTTGTTTTAAAGAAAATTAGTCTCAAAAGCATCTTCCTACAAAATCTGTCATAGACTACATCTATGGTGCATATTTGGTTTCAGCTCCCTCTTGATGCTCTGTAGCGCTCCATTTAATGAGGGGTTAAATTTAGGGTGATCCTGCTTTAATTGCAATTACTGGAAGTTACTTATAAATATTTTATGAAAAGAGAGCTTAATGCTGAAAACATGAAATTTTATGTTCAATTAAGCTGAACCCAAGCTTGCCCTTTCTTGTTGCCTATAAAAACAGGAGGACTGAATGTGAAAATGGAAAACATTCTGAGTGATGATGAACCAAAACATTTGCTGTTCCTTTATGAAAATGAATGAAAATTGCACAGTGTAGCAAAATTATAATTGTGTATTAGGGTTAAAAATTATAAGAAAATAATTCAGAGTTTTCTCTTTATTGTCAAGAATAAGACTTTTTTTTTTTTTTTTTTTTTGAAGCATGGAGAATCCCTAATGAGTGCTGATGCGTGATGCAAAGAGCTGACACTTCTCATCCATGAAGCCCAGGAAAGAAGATCTATGATTCTCAATTAAAGCTCCAATCAAGATTATGATGAGAAATGTCAGGAGATTGTCAGTCCAACATGTGATTGAAGGAGATAGCTAGGGAACCATTTCCCGATGCCACCGAAGATAGGAAGAGATGGCATTTCTTCACCTCAAGGAAAATAGATATTCTAAAAGCACAAAGAAAATGACTCAGGTAGCACTTTGTGTCACTTTAAGCATGATACTTCCTTAGTAATCAGATAAACAACCAACGTAGGTGCAAATGGATGTGCTAATGTTCATCTGCATCAGGCAGAAGGTTAAATGGCCCTCAGATGTCTGATCTATATGCTTCACTCTGTCAATGGTAAGGTTTTGTGACAGTAAAGATGAACTTCATGCCTGTTTTTAATTTTTATAAGTGGGTATCTGTTGCTTGACAGAATTGTAGGACTGGGTCATGAAGAAACAACACATGACATGAATTTATAAAGGAAGAACAGCACTCAGGTCAACTCTAGAAACATGGATAATTGATGCCTGGTTTCAGGGTTGGGAGGGAGGAAGTAAAACCAAACAGAAAATGTGTCAAGGGAGTTACAAGTTTTTTAAAAAATAAATCAGAGATCCAATTTAGCTCATCCCAAAAAGTCCAATGAGAGGAATAATCTTTGAACAATGTAAATTGATTACATGTTCTATGAAAAATCCTACCCCCAAAAAAGGCCTGGAGAAAGATACCCAAGAATATATATTTGTTTCATTAATTGTGTTTGAATATCTGAGAAAAAAAGAATAAAGGACCTAGCTTGCAACAAAAATAGAAGAAATTCATAGGAGAGAAAACAAAGGAAATCCTGGCAATTTCCTTGAGCCCATTATGGGGAGAGGAACTAGAACAATCAGTGGGGTAGGTAGAGACATTGGGGAGGAAATTCTCTGTGGAGGTTTCATCACTTTTTACATTACAGCACAGTGGTTGAGTCCAAAGTGCTGCAGAATTACATATCTGGTATAAAACACGACTAATTTTGTTGCTGTTGTTATAGTAATAGTAGTAGTAGTAATTTGCCTCCTCAATGGTTCATTAAGATCTAGCTATATGCATGTTCTTTAAATGTTTGGAATAATCCAGAGATGCGCTCTATGAAACTCACACGTCTCTATTGCAAAACTAACATAAGTTACTTTATAAATATCCTATATGCAGATTAAGCTGAAATATTGCTATTACCAAATTAATTCACAATAATAACTTGGAAATGATATTTTAACACTGTTATACTGCCAAATGTTTCAGAATGAGACTTACCTAATCTGAATTCAATGAATATTTACTGAACACTTACTTTGTACAAGGTACTGTGATACATGCTAGTAATTAAACAAAAAGTAAACAGCGAAAACCCAACCCCTTTGCCAATATTAGTAAGCACAATCTTTGTCCCTATGAAACTTAAAGTCTTGTTATTTTGATGCATTATTTTACTCTATTGAATAGAATTTGTTATACACAATACTAAATTTTAATAGTTAACAATAATCTATTATTTGGAAAGTTTATTTTACCTTGTGGAACGGAGGTTGACAAACTGTGGCCCAAGAACCAATAACCTGCCACCTTTTTTAATAATGAAATTTTATTGGAACACAGTCACACTCAGTTGTTTACATATTACCTATAGCTCCAATAGCAGTGCTGAGTCATTGTAACAGAGACATGTGTAGCCTGCAAAGCTTAATGCTTTAACTATCTACCCCTTTACAGAAACATTTAGGCAACTCCTATTACAGAAAATACATAAACATAGAATTGGTGCTAAAAATTTCATGGAGGTTTAGTTTGTCAAAGACACTTTTATTTTGTAAAATCTTTTTTTTTAAAGGATACTGTTTGTAAACAATTACTATTGCTATGCATACTGCTCAGTCAAAATCAAATAGCTGAACCAATGCCATCTGGGAAGACACTGTACCCTTCTTTATTTACTCACGTGGCACAGGGGGCAACTCCATCTCCTTGAGACACACAGGGTTCTTTTTCCTCAAGTTCTGGACACTCCTTTTCACTGCCAATAGGAAACTGCCTGATGGTGCGTGTCCTTACACGAGTGCCTGCGGGGGACACCATGTCGTGGCATGTTTTTGAGCAGGGGCTCCACTCTGACCATTCGGAAACCTGGCACTCTTTGGTGATCACACAGGACTGGAAGGTCATTGGAAGCTTCTCTTGCTGGCAAAAGCTGTAAAACAGCATTGATATTCTCATTACAGACTCACAGGCAGTTATGAACTTTGTCTTCTACACTCAAGAGTGAATCAGCTTGGGCATTTTTATTTCTACTTGGAGGTGCGCTTCCAATTTCATTGAAAATACATCAACACTTATGATGTGGAAAAACAGTTAGACTCAAAGCTAACATTTGCATATTCTCCCGTTTTCTAAGAGTTGTTAAACCATTCATAGGAAATAGAAAATAAAGAGAATTAAGTAAACTTAGCTAAAACCAAGTTTGCCAAACTCTTTATTTTACTTATTCCAGACTTGTTTTAATTTAGAAAATGAGAAATCAAGAACTGTTAACATATGCTAATTTCCATTCTGTTTAGGAATCAAATAAATATGGCCAGACATCTGGGATGGTTAATACTGAGTCTCAATTTGATTGGATTGAAGAATGCACAGTATTGATCCTGAGCATGTCTGTTAGGGTGTTGCCAAAGGAGACTAACATTTGAGTCAGTGGGGTGGGAAAGTCAGAGCCACCCTTAGTCTGAGTGGGCACCATCTAATCAGCTGCAAGCAAGGCTTGACTATAAAGCAGTCAGAAAAATGTGAAAAAGACTAGACTGGCCTAGCCTCTCAGCCTATATCTTTCTCCGATGCTGGATGCTTCCTGCCCTCTAACATCAAGTTCTTCAGTTGTGAGATTCGGGCTGGCTCTCCTTGCTCCTCAGCTTTCAGATGGCCTATTGTGGGACCTTGTGATCATGTAAGATAATACTTAATAAGTTCTACTTTATATTTTATTTATTTATTTATCCTATTAATCTTTCCCTCTAGAGAGCCCTAAGACCGAAGACAATTTTTGGTACGAAGAGTGGTTCTAAAGGAACAGAATATTAAAGATGGAATTCTTTCATTGGTTTTGGGGTTTCTGGAGTTGGCTGCTTAATATTAGACCCCAAAATGCTAAGGACTCTACTTCTGATAGAATGGAGAACACTCATAGTCCTTGGCATGAACTGCTTAGAGTGTTACACAAAATAAATGCATTTGGCACTCCTGATTCATCACTCATGAGAAGCAAAGAGTATAGTGACTCTATACATAATACCTTTGACTGTATGTGGAGAACCAAGGAACATAATGAAGCTATTTGGTTGCTCCTAAGTTCAGTGGACAAAGTGATGAAATAAAATGATAAACTCAGGGATTCTAACTCCTGGCTTCAGAATCAGATACTGAGCCTCAAATCTGCTAAGATTGTTCTGAGTGAGAGACTTAGCTTCTATTGAAAAAAAGCTGAAATTGTGGAAAAATAGACACAAACTCTTAACATGCAAGTGGCTGGCCTGCAAAAAAAGGTGCACACACATGGTCTTGCCAGGTGTCTAGTATTAAAGTTAGAGCACTGATTGGCAAAGAATGGGACCCCGAAAATTAGAATGGGAACATGGGGGAGATGAAGCTGGGGGATGACCCTGATGAAGCTGGGGACACTTAGTTTATAAACTCCGATGAATCTTTTTGCCAGAAAAAACAGCTTCCCCATACCCAGTTGTGGCAACATCCTCTCCACAATCCATGCTGCCATCATCCTTTTCACCTTTGTCTGAGGAGTTAAACCCTGTGCTGCCTGAGACAACAGTGATGACCGCCACCGAGGCAGTTGCCAGGCAAGATAATGTTGATTCTCCTCAGGAGCCACCCCCAACACCCCTGTTTGCTTCTAGACCTATAAATAGACTAAAGTCCTGGCAGGCCCCTAGAGGTAAGGTTGAGAGTGTGACCCATGAAGAGGTGTGCTACATTTGAAAAGAACTGTTTGAATTCTCCAATTAATACAAACAGAAATCTGGAGAACAGGCATGGGAATGGATGCTAAGAGTGTGGGATAATGGTGGAAGGAACATAGAGTTGGATCAGGCTAAGTGTATTGATTTGGACCCATCAACCAGTGACTCTGCATTTAATGTTGCAGCTTGGGGAGTTAAAAAAAGAGGTTCTAATAGTTTATTTACTTGGTTAGTTAAAATATGGATAAAAGATGACCCACTGTGACTGAGCTGGAAATGCCTGATCTCCCTTGGTTTCATGTAGAGGAAGTAATCCAATGGCTTAGGGAGATTGGGATGGTGTGGATTAGTCACTTTAGACCACTCTTCCCAGCTGGGAGGGTCCAGAAGATATAACCTTGACCAATGCCTTGCAAAACAGATTAGTGAGGGCAGCACTTGCATCTTTGAAAAGCCCTGTAATTGCTCTTATTTGTATGTCAGATCAAACAATGGAAACCACAGTCCCTCAATGACAAAACTTAAATACCATTGGAATAATTGGATCCTGAGGTGGCAAGGGCCAAGTGGCAGGACACAACCATCAAAGGCAAGGTGGGCATAGCTATCGTAATGGACAGCAGAGGCAAAGCAGCAATCAGAATAGTCTGACACATGTAGAGCTCTGGCACTGGTTAATTAATTATAGTGTCACTAGAAGTGTAATTGAGAGGAAGCCTACTGCAGTCCTTAATTTATATAGGCAGAAAACTTTTGGGTCAAATGGACAAAAGACTAATTTGAATTATAAAAACAGAGAATCATGGCCTCTCAGTCAACTTCCAGACTTGACCCAGTTTACAGACCCAGAACCTCTTGAATAAAAGGAAGACCACGTCCCCTTGGGGAAGGACCCCACTACATTACAGACAATTTATGCTGTTGGTCTTCCTTACATTTTTTCCCATGGAAGCCTCTGGCCTTTTACACGTGTAACTATGCACTGGAAAAATGGAAATGATCAGATATTTCGGGGACTACTGGACACTGTCTCTGAGCTGACACTGATTCCAGGGGACCCAAAACATCATTGTTGTCTTCCATTTAAAGTAGGGGCTTATTGAGGTCAGGTAACTAATGGAGTTTTAGCTCAGGTCCAACTTACAGTGGGTCCAGTGGGTCCTGGGACTCATCCTGTGGTCATTTCCCCAGTGCCAGAATGCATAATTGGCATAAACATACCTAGCAGTGGGCAGAACCCCCACATTGGCTCCCTGACTGGTAGGGTGAGGGCTACTATGGTAGGAAAGGCCAAATGGAAGCCATTAGAGCTGCCTCTACCTAGAAAAATATTAAATCAAGAACAATATCTCATCCCTGGACGGAGAGAAGAGATTAGTGCCATTATCAAGGACTTGAAAGATGCAGGGGTGTTGATTTCCACCACGTCCACGTTCAACTCTTCCATTTGGCCTTTGCAGAGGACAGTGGATCTTGGAGAATGACAGTGGATTATTGTAAGCTAAACTAAGTGGTTACTTCAATTGCAGCTGCTATACCAGATGTGGTTTCATTGCTTGAGCAGATTAACACATCTCCTCGTACCTGGTATGACTTGGCAAATGTCTTTTCTCCATTCCTGTCTATAAGACCCATCAGAAGCAATTTGCCTTCAGTTGGTAAGGCCAGCAATATACCTTTACTCTCATACCCCAGGGGCATATCAACTCTCCAGCTTCACGTCATGATCTCATTCAGAGAGACCTTGATTGCTTTTTGCTTCCACAAAGCATCACACTGGTCTATTATATTGATGACATTGTGCTGATTGGATACAGTGAGCAAGAAGTAGCAAAGACACTGGATTTGTTGGTGAGACATTTGCGTGTTAGATGGTGGGAAATAAATCCGACTAAAATTCAGGGACTTCTACCTCAGTAAAATTTCTAGGGGTCCAGTGGTGTGCAGCCTGTCAAAACAGTCCTTCTAAAGTGAATAATAAGTTGATGCATTTGGCCTCTTCTACTACCAAGAAAGAGTCACAATGCCTAGTGGGCTTATTTGGATTTGGGAGGTAACACATTCCTCAATTGGGTGTGTTACTCTGGCCCATATATCGAGTGACCTGAAAGGCTCTCACTTTTGAGTGGGGTCCAGAACAGGAGAAGGCTCGGCAACCAGTTCCAGCTGCTGTGTGAACTGCTCGGCAACTTGGGCCATATGACCACCCATATCCAATGGTGCTTGAGGTATCAGTGGCAGGTAGGGATGCTCTTTGGAGCCTTTGGCAGGCCCCCATAGGTGAATCATATTGGAAGCCTCTTGGATTTTGGAGCAAGGCCCTGCCAGCTTCTGCAGATAACTACTCTCCTTTTGAGAGACAGCTCTTGGCCTGTTACTGGGCTTTAGTGGAAACTGAACATTTGGCTATATGTCATCAAGTCACCATGTGTCCTAAACTGCCTATCATGCACTGGGTGCTTTCTGATCCATCTAGCCATAAAGTAGGTCATGCACAGCAGCATTCCATCAACAAATGGAAGTGGTATATATGTGATCGGGCTAGAGCAGGTCCTGAAGGCACAAGTAAGGTACATGAGGAAGTGGCTCAAAGCTCATGGTATCCACTCCTGTCACCCTACCTTCTCTTCCCTAGCCTGTACCGATGGCCTCATGGGGAGTTCCCTAAGATCAGTTGACAGGGGAAGGGAAGAGTAGGGCCAGCAGCAGAAACCAACACTGAGCCCTTGATATGATACCATTCCTCAGGGTGATCAGTCAGCTACCTGGTGGAAGGTTGATTATGTTGGACCTCTTCCAACATGGAAAAGGTAGAAGTTTGTCCTTACTGAAACAGACACTTAATTCGGATATGGGTTTGCCTATCCTGCACACAATGCTTCTGCCAAGACTATCACTAAGACAGAATGTCTTATTCACCATCATGGTATTCCACACAGCATTGCCTCTGACCAAGGCACTCACTTTACAGCTAAAGAAGTGCAGCAGGGGGCTCAAGCTCATGGAATTCACTGGTCTTACCATGTTCCCCATCATCCTGAAGCAGCTGGATTGATAAAATGGAGGAATGGCCTTTTGAAATCATAATTACAACATAAACTAGGTGACAATAGTTTGCAGGGCTGGGGCAAAGTTCTCCATGAGGCCGTGTATGCTCTGAATTAGCATCCAATATATGGAACTGTTTCTCCCATAGCCAGGACTCATGGGTCCAGGAATCAAG